ATAGATCCAGCACGGAGCCGCCTCCACCTACAATCTGTTTACATACAACATCAGAGAGACGTTTACATGATAAATATTGCCAGTAATTACACTCTGAATGGACGGAGGCGACACTCCCCATCCCCCCTCCCAAACCGCACTAGAGGCCGCACCATCCCGGGGAAGAGACCGCACCGTCACTGACAGAAGAGACCGCATCCCGGGGAAGAGACCGCACCGTCACTGACAGAAGAGACCGCATCCCGCGGAAGAGACCGCACCGTCACTGACAGAAGAGACCGCATCCCGGGGAAGAGACCGCACCGTCACTGACAGAAGAGACCGCATCCCGCGGAAGAGACCGCACCGTCACTGACAGAAGAGACCGCATCCCGGGGAAAGAGACACCCCGAGCTCCCCCCCCTTTGGTATATATGGCTATTCTCTGATGTACATACAGCGGAAGTCCTGATCTATATCCCCTCTGATTTGTTGCAGCGGACGCTCCCCCAGCGATCGCCCCGCCATGGGGAACGCAGAGAGCAGCGATTTCCAGAAGCGAATGGAGTTGGTCCCTGCCGCCGATCAAGCCGAGATCGAGCACAGTTTTGAAAACTTGTGTCCGGGGAAACACTTCTCCAGGAAGAGCCTGGGATTGGCCGCCTTTAAGGTAAGACGTGAATTGGGGGGCGGAGCTATAAATCACATGATGCTACAAAATAGTAACAAATGTGACTGTAATATATCAGGGGTGGCACTACAAATCGCATGATGCATCTCTCTCTTTCTCTCTCTCTCTCTCTCTGAGTTGCACATTTGTGTTTCTTCCAGGAATCCAGCGGGATCTGCCTGCCCGGGGCCATGTCTTTGCGGATCTTCCGCGGTATACAGGCTGAGAACGCCACCAGCAAGTCCTCTCCCCCTGCTGCGGAGATCAGTAAAGAGCAGTTTGCACTGTTCGCCGTCGATATGCTGAGAGGGACGGCAGACGAGAAATGCGCCATTGTCACTCGCATGATGACATCAGACAACAAAGAGGAGGTGAAGGGACGACAGGTGCAGCAGGTTAGTGTCCTGGTTGTGGCGTGTGTTGTGCCACATGTGTCCCGGGTAACTGACGCCATAGTGACTCCATAGAACGCCAACCACATAGACGTCAGTGCGTCACATGACTACCCAAGGATGATGGGTAGAGGCTTCCTTTAATGGATGTCAGGAAGGGTTCACACCATGTCCAGAATCCACCATGAGGCTCGCCTAGCCAATCACATAGACGTCAGTGCGTCACATGACTACCCAAGGATGATGGGTAGAGGCTTCCTTTAGTGGATGTCAGGAAGGGCTCACACCATGTCCAGAATCCACCATGATGCTCCCCTAGCCAATCACATAGACGTCAGTGTGTCACATGACTACCTGTGACCCACATACTGTAAAAGTCTCTCTTTCCCCAGTTTCTGGAGGATCTGATTTGCGCGGTGGTCTACGTTCTGCGGCATAACAAAGTACTGAGAGGCTGGTCCCTGGGAAACACCCGCGACTGCGAATTGGGGATACGCACGCTGTCCGCACATCTGCTTTCTCAGTTGAGGCCGGCAGGTATGTTCCGTTTCCTCCTCGGATATTTCTCTTCTCTGTTTTGCTGAATGAAAGAACATTTTAATAACAAAAATAGGTGTTTTTATCTCTTTTTTTTTTTTTTTTAAATTCCTTCCCATCTTCTGTGTTCCAGGTGGACAGACCCTTGAAGAGGTGGAGCTCCTTAGCTCCTCCTACACCCAGGCCTCCATAACAGACTGGCTGTACCAGGCTCCGATTGTCTCCATGTTTCTGCGGGTTGTGGTGACGCTGGGCTTGTCCATCTTGAAGAAGAGCGCAGAGCACCAGCTGGACCTCGGCTGTCTGGTGCCAAGGTGTAAGAAGGAGAAAGGGAGGACCTCCTGCAGCCTCCTGGACCTCCCTTCCGTCATGTTCCTGAATTCTCACCTCCCCTCTGCAATGCAGCGCTCCTGGCGGCTCCTCTTCTCCACCAAGATCCACGGAGAGAGCTTCTCCCAGCTCTGCGGGCACCTGGTGGATCAGGGACCGAGCCTGCTGGTTCTCAGGGACTCGGACGGTTTCATCTTTGGAGGGTTCGCCTCGCAGAACTGGGTGGTGAAGCCACAGTTTCAGGGTGAGGATCTCGGTTACCTGAACAGAGGGGGGACCAGTGCCATAACAGAGCCACAGCAGGGGACCAGTGCCAGGGCAAAGCCACTGCAGGGGACCAGTGCCATAACAGAGCCACTGCAGGGGACCAGTGCCATAACAGAGCCACAGCAGGGGACCAGTGCCATAACACAGCCACTGCAGGAGACCAGTGCTATAACAAAGCCACTGCAGGAGACCAGTGCCATAACAAAGCCACTGCAGGAGACCAGTGCCATAACAAAGCCACTGCAGGAGACCAATGCTATAACGGAGCCACTGCGGGGGGGCCCCGCTGCAACAGAAG